CTCGATAGATAGATAGATAGTAAGGTTTGATTCGAGATTATGTTAGGAAACAAAAGATGATATTTAAGAATCTTTCTTAATTAACTGAAGAATTATTAATCCTTGTCCCCAATCTTTGTATATTGAATTTAATTCTTATTCAAAAAATCTTTACATAAATTGAGATTTATTAATTATCGAGACTGAAACGAAATTAAAAACAAGGAACATGGTCTTCGATATACCTTGCAGAATTCAGAGAGAACGTATAGGATGATCTTGGAAACATAATGGATATTTTGAGTTGAATGACTATGATGAGAATATAAATGGAAAGATGGCTGTTTAATTCGAGATTAAGGAAACAATGATACTTTTTTCTTTCCTGATCCAATACTGGGAGTCCATAATTAAAAAAATATTAATCCTTGTCCCCTTGTCTTTATATATTGAATTTAATTCTTATTCAAAAAACCTTTATATAATATATATATATATATAACTTTTTGAGATTTGAATTATCGACATTATTCGATTGAACTTTATTTATTAAATAATTAAAATAGAAAAACTCTTCTGTGTTATCAGAAAAGGAGATCATTTTCTTCGCGGATACTTTATATTCATAACCGATATAACCCTCGCACGTGTTTGGCTTGCACGCTCTCTCTCTTCTTCGTCATCCGTTGACCCATGACAGGATACATAAATTCCCGTTAATAATTTCTCCGATATCACCGGGTCATCTTGTTTGCACTCGGAATGAAAAGGAAAAAAAGGAAGAAGAAGCTGCAGACGAAGATGCGATAAAATTGCATTTCTCATTTTATATCGATTTATAAGATTATCAAGAATTTAATTATTGTTACCATGTCCTTGATAAATGATCACTAATTACGATTACTTAATGATCGTTCCAACATGACTTTAATTAACTGATCTGCCCGTTTCACGCATATTCATCTATCCTTCGTAATAGCTATTCCATATTATTAGACGATAACGAACGAAACAAATGAATATTTCTGAATGACTCTGAATTCAAACGAATATATACGATACAATACGATCGTTAAATTTTATAGGATTGGATTTGCCTTGCAATATTTATTGTAAAAATTTATAAATGACATCGTTGTTACAATTTTTTTTCATTGACGATCGATTGGAATTGAAAAAAAAAAAGAAGCATATAGAGGGAAAATATAGATATAAATTTTTCTGATTCTAATGAAAGATATGTTTTTGAACAACCCTTGCCCACCTGCACGAGCGAAACGACTTGTATCTTTGAATCTGTCAAACTTTCTAATGCTGAGATATTAACGCGCTTATTGAATTAACAACAATTCAATAATAAATCAATAGAGACAGACTATCTTTTCTTTCTACCTCTTCATAGAAGTAATCCTTGACATTCTACAAGTTGCTCGCAACAATATTCCACGCGAGAAGAAGAAGAAGAAGACGAAGGAAAGGAAAAGTTTTCATTTTGATTCGTACATTTTCGAATCGGGATCGGTGTTTTAGAACGCAAAATTATTGTGATCTATCGTGAAATAAATATCCTCCATTCTCGGAATGGATTCAGATTCATCGATCTTTTCGATTCTTCGTTAAATCGCATGATTAAACTAGATCGAATGAAGTTAAATCCGGTCTGTGACGTGGTAAAATTTATTCATAAATTCAACAGCCAGCAATACACTCGCTCATACGCTAGTTCATTTGCATTTTAATTCTTCCTCCTCCTCTTTCTCTCCCTCCCCTGCCTCCCCTTTCAACTTTTTGTTTTTACTATCACTTTAATTAATCATGTAAGGACAGAAGAATAAAGAGAATAAGAAATAAAGAATAAGAGAAGAATAAATCGAGGGACAGCGTATCGAAGAATGCGTATCGAAATTATAAATTCGAGGAAAATTGACGTTTTTTTTTTAATGTTTCGCTTGCTCGACAGACAGTGATACGCTTGTTTATTGGGTTTTTCCGTTGTCCAAGAAACAGATGGAATATGATCAACGTGACGACTTTTATAACCTGTTACAGTAACGATTATTCGTGCAAGAATCGTAAATTGTCTTCTGAAATTTTTTTTTTTAATTTTTTTGTATCACGATACGAGAAAATCGAACGATTCGCATTAATAATTTAAAGAAGACGTTATTCGAGATAATATATTTTTCCTAAAATGTCTCCCGGAATGATTTCTACTCGCTATTTTGTAAATTTGCATGAAATTTTTGCACGAAATATCCATGTAATTATTTCGAAACAATCATTTATCTCGATTATTTGTTACAAATTAATCCTATTTTTTTACCTATGTATATATCTCTCGAAGTTACTAAGAAACACGCAAGTCACGTATCCGCGAAATAAAAAAATTGTCACATCAAAAGTGTCGCGCAAATATTCGATCAAGAATTAATTAGAGCTTGATTTTAACGATTCATCGTGTTAAAAATCCATTTGTGAACTGTAACGGTGCAACGATACGCGTTTCACTCACGAAAAATAAAAATGTGGACTAACGACGTGAAAGTTTCATATGAATACAACGCCACAAATTCAAGATTGAAGAAAAGATAGTTTTTCGAAAAAGATGGTCAAAAGAAGATAAAGATTGATAAAAAAAAAAAAGAAAAAAAGAAAAAACAAGAACATAATTTACAGTTACAGTACAGTGAGTCACATATGGATTCATTTCCTCGACCAACATCCGCGTCTCGGATGATTGCGGACGTTTGAAATTACCCTTAATCTCTTGTTATAAAAGTATGAACATCTAACGATGATTATTCGCGTTGTTCGAGGATGAATCAGATGAATCAGAATCTTGTGAGATCGGAATCGAAGAAGCATTTCACGATATGAATCTATCTGGGAATAGAAGAGAAACGTTGCTCGCATGAATAAGTCGATTTCCGCCTCGCAAGGTTTCCATTAAAATTTTATTAAAGATTGTAGAAATATTATATGAATAGAAACTATCTACGTTTATGTTTGAAAAATGTTGAAAATTTTCAAATGTTAAAGATTTAATTGTTAAGCATTGCTCTGCATCTTTCTATTTTCTAAATTATAATTTAACGTTAAATGTTGGAATAGTTTTGTATTTATTACATTTGTACTTAATTCTATATAAAGTTGAAAAGAAGTATTCATTGAGGAAAAAGAATAATAATGTGTCTTCTAGTGAAATCTTAGAAGATTTTTATCTCTGATTAAAATGTTCATAGGTGCAAAGCAACATAAAATTAATACCAATGATATATTACCGAGTTATTATTTCTAATGAATCTTTCAGGAATAAATCAAAAAACACAAAAAATATTTAACAATAAATAAGAAAGCGTGACGAGCATTGCAACTAAAGTCTTCACGCTTCGAATTACGATTTTAGACTGATTTATATGGTAAGATACACAAATGTATAATGTAAAAAGAAATAGAAAGAAAAAATTATATAGAAATTAAATTGTAATTATAAATGTAATCATTCTTTTATATTAAATCACATTAAAATTAGAATTGATAATTTCTATAAAATGTTTTCTTAAAGTCAATCATTATTAATGTAATAATATAATAAAATTTTAATTATTATCAATTATATATTATATACTTTTATAT